AATATGAGAGAAGAGAATGTGGGAGGGAGTGAGTGATGGAGGGTAAGGCTTGAGCTTGATAATGATGTTGTTGATGCTGCGAGCTATGCTATATAGCTATGAGTATATCATTATGTGGGCATTACAAATTGCTGATGGCTGATTGGCGCGAGTTTGTGGCAGCGTGCGTGTGTGTGCCTTTAAGTAGCATTCCTCACGTTTGCTTGCCGGGCTACGCGGGCGTATACTTAACGTGTGTGCCTAGCCTTAAGCTGTGCGTATGTGAAGGATTAAATTTTGTTGCGCATTTCACAGCTTCGCACCTACAAACGGGCAGCAAGTGTTTGTGCCAGAAGCTCTGTCCGCTTGTGTGTGTGCGCTTGCCGCAAAAGAGCGAAAATAAAAGCCGAGCTGCTGTTGAGGTTGTGGCTTATTTTGCTGCTTTTACTGCTGCTCGCTTTTAGCCCGGCGCTTGGTCCGCAGGACGTGTTCAGCGTTAATCTAATTATGACAATGCGTTCGAGCAAACAAACTGGAAACTTCTGCTGGCCACTCTTCAGCGACTATGCCTCAAACTTTTCATAATAATAGAAATTGAAATAAAATTGTGCAAACTGTTAACTGTAGCCAAAAATTTTTTGATAAGATTTTATGGCAAAAGTAGCTGAAATGTTGTACCTCTGGTAACGAGCTTTGAAAGTCAGCAAAGCGATAAAAAAAGAGAGCGACACAATTGCTTTTAATATTAATAAAATACATACAGAAATACAGTAAAAGCATAACTCTAAGCTTGCATAAAAATAACGCTGATATTATAAATTTCTCTATTTGATTCATTACTTTTTAATATACAGAAAAAATTGCAATTTCTATAAGAGTATAAAATAATATGAATTGGCAAATTTTAATATATGTCATTTATATATGTATATAGTCTATATATATATATAAATTATATATATATTTTTAAATTTAATAATCATTTTTAAGTCTTCAAAGATAAATCATTTTATATTAATTTAAATAAATATAATTAATAAACATTAAAATTTCATTAATAAAAGTAGCAAGTATTTCAATGAAAAAATAAATTAAATTAAAGAAATATTTTACTTAAAATTGCATTTAATTTTATCTACATTTTATTTTATAAAATTTTATTTAATATATGTTATATTAAAAATTTTATAAATTTTTAAAATTTTAATTACATAATAAATTTAAAGCTTAACCCCATTGAGAGTTTCTCGACATTTTTAAAACATTTAAAACAAAAATGTATAACAAAATTATTTAAAATCATTATTAAGACAGGCAATGTTTATCAATTAATTGATTATTTTTAACTTTAAAAAAAAAGTTAATTCATATTATCATTTGCTAAGCTTTGTTCTTAAAAATTAACGAACCTCGCTGTTAGCTTAGGTTGTCGCTTCTTGCGTTTTATATACTCACTTGCCGAAAGCTCAATTCAAAATCAGCTTAGTAAAGTTTTTTATAATGTTTAGTGCAAGTATTTGACATTAAAGCTTCTATAAAAATAAAAAAGTTTTAATTTACCTTTTTAAAAATTTTACCATACAGTTTTATAAATTAAATTATAAATTAAACTTAAATTAAATTTAAATTATATTATATAATTATATAAAAAATTTAAATTAAATTTAAAGTTTGTAACAAATTAATTTTTCAATTTGAATTTTAAGGATTCGAATTTGAAATTTCAGCTGATTTAACCTGCCTGAAATGCCCCTTGCATGGAGTGCAGGGTATTGGCCGGCGCCTGGCTTGATAACAGTCTTGCAGCTGCGACTCCCACTCCCCATCAAACAACTGTGGGCGTGCACAGTGACGTGGGCGTGGTCAGTGTGGTTGTGGGCGCTGCTTTTGTGTGACAAACACTTCATTAGACTAATGAACATAATTTAACGTAATTGTGCTAGCCGCTGGGAGCAACAGTTTTTTCAACTCCCGTCTCGAAATATCCACATATATATTATATATATATATAAATATATAAATTTTTTTTAATTTATGATAAAATGAGAGTCAAGCGACGTTGCAGTTGTGAGTTGTGTGCGGCAGGACAGACTCACCCAAGCCCCCTGCTTATCGATTAGATAAAATTAATTTTAGTCATTCAGTCGAATATATTGCAGAGCCACGCAGCTGGCGATTTATGACTGTGCTCAGCTTGGCCGGAAATAGTGCGCTGTTGTTATCTGAGACAAAAACAAAAGCAAAAACTGAAAGCATGCGATAAAAGCCCGAAAATTGTTTATAAAGCCAGCTGCTGCTGGCAGGCGGGCTGCCAGTGGATAGCCAGACACATGCCACATGCCGCAAGCCAAACGCAAACAGCACAAAAGCCGCTGAATATTGCAAATTTATGGCAACTGTCATAAATCGCATCGTCATATACATATAGTATGATCCCACATGTAACGAAGTCAGCTAAAAGGGCTCCAAAGCACATGCCACACGCAAACACAGGTTGCCACAGAAACTGCGCAACAATTTGTAGCCGCTGGCTGGGGTTCGGGTTCGGCTGATTTGACATCGATTTACAGCGTCGCCTGCGAGCTGATCAATTTGACATGATTGGTTTGGACGCGATTTATTTACAATGCACGAGGGCTGCTCCAACAAGGCCAACAAATTATGACCAAATGAGCTGGCGGTTAACTGGTTGATTGATTGATTGATTTGGACATGATGAGTTGATTGATTATGTCTGCTATGTTCATTCAGCGATAGTGCTCATAAAGCTACCAGCTTGATTAGTTGACGCAAGGTTTACATGTTGGCTCAATCGATAAGCAGATTATCGACAAAAAGAATCAATGCAATTTCGATAATTGATTAATTATTTCTTTACTATATTTCCATATGTAGCTCTGATGAAATGTAGTATAAGTAAACGTAATAAAAATGTGTGATAATTTCTATCGATTAAATATCGATCGTATTGATTGCTTTTCGGAGCAGTTCCGAGTCACTTGCTTAGTTCAAGCTGTTTATAAAAGAACCTTAAGCTAAAGCAAATAATAGTCTAGTAAGTATTTGGCATATATTTAAAAAATTAATCGAATATATCGATAAGCCATCTATTAATCAATATAATTATTTAACGCAAGCGCAGCTAAGCACTGAAACAATCAAGTTAATTTTTAGGAAAATACATTTTTTGAATAAATTTGTATTTTTATGTATCGTTTATCGATAATATCGATAGTCAAGTTTTTGATTAAATTAGTTAGAAATCATTTTTACAACTAGATTAAAAAACTAATAACAAAATATACTTTAAGAAGAGTTATATTTTGCAGGCTAATATATACATTATGTAGGTTAATCGATATTATTGATAGGCAGGTTTTCGATTGGGACGCATAAAAATCTGTAATTCATATAAGAATCATATGCGAAATAAGAATGTGTTGAGCTGATCAATAATATTGATATATAGATTTTCGATTAATGTAATCGATTTTATATTGACAATTATAGGTAAGTCTTGCACTTATGTTGTTATGATTTATATGAAATTCAGTTGCAATGAGCTAGATATATGCTATATCTATCGATATGCTATATGACTATCGATAAATTTCTTTTTCCACTAGCATAAAAATTGATTGAACAAGAGAGCTCAGGCTTTATAAGTATGTCATATATGTATCTTTGTATATATTACAATGAATATTTCTATTTGTATATGGAGATATCTGTGGCAAGTCAAGTGAAGTCAAATACAGATCCACAAATTTTCATATATTTACTTTTTAAAATACGTCGCAGCAGCATGACATTACATTACATCCAGCCGTGGCCAGCTTATTTAATTTATTACTATTAGGGTCTCTGTTTGGCATACTCTGAATGAAATATTCATCTTGAAGATGGCATGAATCATTGAGTCCACCTCGTTCGCCCTACTGTTACGCCTACAAAAGCTTATAAATCATGTAGGCCTTACAGAGAAATCCACTAAGGGTTAAGGTGCTAGCCACACACACACACCCACACACGCCCCCTCACACACACACATGCACACCATACACTCACAACCCTCTTTCAATTGCTGTCTCAAAGAAGCCTCACAAAAAGTTTTCATAAATAAATAATAAAGTTGAAAACAAATTGCACGAAAAATGAAAAGAGAAGCAGAAGGGCAAAGTTGAAAGGCAGAAAGTATTTTTAAAATTGTAAAAGGTAACGGTACAAAGTGTTAATTAATTAACCGGCTGCCTAAAATATGCGTATTTAAACAGTTGGCTTTGCTTGAATGCCAAGCGAACAGCAGCAAGGGAAACCTTAAAGTCGCCGCCTGTTCGCGCAGCTAATTGCAAACAGCATCCAGCTCGTCCGCAGCCAGATTTCCTTCGAGCACCTGCTGGCTGGCACCTATTGTGCTAGACGTGTCCTTGCCAGTACAACTGGCAGCACGTGTCGCTGCGGTCACAGTCGGGTCTTTGGCTTTGGTCACAATGGCGCCTTAAGCAGCGTAATTAATAACAAAAGAGCGAGGGGAGGAGGGAGGGAGGAGGGGTAGTAAAATTGTGGCTTGGCGACCCTAATTTATTTATAAGGTGCCTCATTCTGCGGCTTGACCAAATAATGAAACTTTTACGACCATGTAGTTGTGGTGCCATTATCCGCCTTTAAGGGCTCAAAGGACAAAAACGAATTGAGTCTTAACTTACTTGACGCTGAGAGAAAGTTAATACATTGTGTGAGAGAGAGAGAGGGAAGAAGGGTGAGAAATAGTTGAGTCTAAGAGAGAGAGAGAGAGAGAGCTTAAGATAGAAAGAGAGAGACGCAGAAGGAAAGATGGAAAGACAGAGGGAGTAAGGAGAGAGGGAAACAGAGAGACAGAGACAGAATGAGTTATGTAGAGAAAGACAAGAAAGAGAGCAATGAAGAGAGAGAGAGAGAGAAGTTGCTATCTACACTAATTGCTCTCTCAGCACACACTAAAGTCCCCAAGCTGCCCTTTCATGGCTTTCTCTTACTTGCAGCGCAATGGATATTGTCATACGCGAGGAGGAGCTGTCGCTGACGCAGATTGGCATCTATGCCTCCGTTTCGTTTTTGGTGGTAACTGCTGTGGGCGCAGCGCTGTACACCACTTGCTCGCGGCGTTACCGCCTCAACTGGTTCGAGCAGAATCTGCTGGAGTCGGCCAGCGAGAAGGACGAGGAGCAGCAGAGGTGAGACTTTGCTATTTACTCTCATTTAAATTGATTTGAGAGCTCAACTCGCTTGCAGTCGCGAGGCGCTGGTGGCTGGCACCGTGGGCTACAACGTGGACAATTTGAGCGAGTGTGTGGCACGTGGCAAGTTGGGCTTAAGCAATGCCGGCAACATGAGTCCCACGTCGCTCAAGTCGGAGGATGCTGATCCAGCCTTTTGGGTGCCCGCCTCGGTGACGTCAGCCACAGCTGCTGTGCAGCAGCAGGTCTCCAACACCACTGAGGACTCGGCACCGCCCACGCCCACCTCGCCCACGGGCAGCCTCAAGTCGAACACGTTGTCCTACTGCTCGACCACATCGGTGCCCATCGCTCGCTCCGACAAGCATGTCGTCCTGGCCATGCACCCCAGTCGTCCACGCGTTTCCTCCATGAATGCCAAGCTGGATCACACCAAAATCGACATGACTCTCTACCGCAGCGTAAGCAAATCCCATTAGACAGCCTCCCACGACTGCTAATCGAATCTCCTCCTTGTCCCACGCAGCACTCGCAGTCGAAGGCTGTTTGCGCCTCGGCCAACGCGAATGAGGTGCGTGGCAACTTGCACGTCTGCCTCAGCTATGATCCGGTTGGCGGCTTGCTCAACGTGCGCCTCCTCGAGGCGCAGAACTTGCAGCCACGACAATTCAGTGGCACAGCCGATCCCTACGCCAAGATACGTCTGCTCCCTGACAAGAAGAGCTTCTGGCAGACGCGCATCCACAAGAAGACACTGAATCCAGGTGAGAACTGGATCTATATCTATATCTATATCTATATCTATATCTATATCTATATCTATATCTATATCTATATCTATATCTATATCTATATCTATATCTATATCTATATCTATATCTATATCTATATCTATATCTATATCTATATCTATATCTATATCTATATCTATATCTATATCTATATCTATATCTATATCTATCTTTAACTATTTTCCAGTCTTCGACGAGCACTTTGTCTTTGAGGTAACCGCCGGGGTGATTGATAAGCGCAGCGTGGAGATTCTGTTATACGATTTCGATGCCTATTCGCGTCACGTTTGCATTGGAGGAACCAAATTGCATTTGGCCCACTTGGATCTGAGCGAGCAGCTGAAATTGTGGACGCCTCTCACATCGGCCTCGGCGCAGGATATGAAGATGGACTTGGGCGACATAATGGTATCGCTGGCATATTTGCCATCGGCCGAGCGCTTGATGGTGGTGTTGATTAAGGCAAGGAACTTGCGCATTGTGGATGATGCACGCAACTCTTCGGATCCGTATGTGAAGGTCTCGCTGCTGGGACCCGGTGGCAAGAAGTTAAAGAAGCGCAAGACAGGTGTGCAGCGCAACACCGTTAATCCGGTCTATAACGAGGCTTTGGCCTTCGATGTGGGCAAAGAGACGCTCAAGAATTGCGTTCTGGAATTCAATGTGGTGCACGATGGCCTGCTAGGTGAGTGGATGCCAAGTGGATGCTAATATAACAGTTTACACAAGTAGCTTTTGCGCGCAGGTTCGAGCGAAATATTGGGTCGTGCTTTAATTGGGAACTCACCTGAGGTGCAGCACGAGGAAAAGATATTCTTCGAGGAAATGTTTCGGGCTAAGAACGCAACAGCTCAGTGGGTGCCGCTGCAGGAGCCAACAGCAAACAACTTGAGTGCCACAGCCAAGACAGCAACCAAAAATTGAAATCCACACAGCTGGAGCTTTCGCTGTTAAGTCGTTAACAGAGCACTGTTAAAGCAGCTGTAGAATATTCATCCGCAGGGAATTCAAAGTGGCTAAGAAATTTTCCGGGAATTTGCAGGGATACATTTAAGAAGGATGCTGAGCGTGTTTGCAAAATATTCACAAATTAAATAAAAACATATAAAGAGAAAGAAAACATATATATAACAAATATATATATATATATATATATATATATATATATTATATATATATATATATATATATATATATATATATATATATATATATATATATATATATATATATATATATATCAAGAGAAATTTAAATTTACTTTTTTTATATTATAATTTTATTTTAATTTACAATTAATAAAATTAATTTAATTTTAAAATCTTATAAATATAAAAAAAAAAAAAATTATGAAAAATGTATTAGAAAAGTTAAAAAAAAATATTAACATAAAATAAGAAGTGTTTAATACACAATGAAAAATCAATTAAAAATTTAACAAAAAAAAAATATATATATATATATTTTATAATATTTAAAATATAACATGAAAGAGATCCTGCTGTACTTAAAAACTGACAAAAATTCAAATAACTGTGTGTGCTTTCTATGATATCAATTACTCTTTTAATCAAAACAAGAATATATATATATATATATATATATATATACTATATATTCATACTTAAATTGAAGAATACTTATATGTGCTATGTATATGTCAAGAAGTACCTAAGATGAAACAAAATAAATATATATACATATACATATGTCAAGAGTATATATATACCAATACTATATATAGCATATATATGACGCGGGCTATGAAAGATATAAATACTATTTAAGCATATTATCTCTACTTGAATTTACATATAAAATATATATATATCAAATATATATACGAAAAACAGTTAATCGCAATTTATTGTAGAACAGCTTTTCAATATTCCTAAACCTTTCACATATTAAGGGTTTCAGTACAAAAAGGGCACAAAAAAAAACAAAATTTTGAAGCAAGCTATATACGTATTTTAATTTTTGCTGAAATAGCACTTGAAACATTATATAACTAGAAAATTGAACGTAGTGAATATGTTATCGAGTAAACCAATCGATAGTTTAGTTAATTGTGCACTATATAATCGGAACACGCATGTAATAATACAGTTATATATAAAGTTCCCTAATGCAAATAAAATAAAGTTAATATATATATACTTATATATAAAGTTATATATACATATATATAAATATATATATATGTATGTATATAATAGTATATCTTTCATTTCTTGTAGGTTTAAAAAGAACTTAAAAGATTTTCGTTACAGATTTCTTCCATATAATTTTTTATTCGGGCAATAATGATTTTTGTAAATGTATGTGAATATTGAACAGATCAACGAGCTGAGTTGATCTAGCCATGTCCTTGTGTCTGGCTCTCCAAAAATAGAGACTTGAAATTTGATACAAAATTATTTTTTTTATCGATAAATCATTCCATTTCCTTCTAATCGATAAAAATCGATTATTTAGCTTCGCGTTTTAAGCGTAGCCTGCATGCATGTTGAAGACTTCAGATTTACTGTTATTATAATTTATTCCCACATTTTGTTCTAAATTTTTTTCTAAAATTTGGAGCTTTTAAATTTGCATTTGGTACAATAATTATTGTATATATTCTGTATTTCAAGTAAAATTTTTATTAAAAACTAAAAAATTTTGTACCTGTGAAGCTGTTCTTTTGGAAGTCTATAACATTTCTAGTAAATCGATGTAACTCTTTATCGATCTTCAGCTATTTTAGCGAGTATCAACAAATTCAAAGTAAAGCTAAGCTCTCTTCAAATTTTAAAATTTTCGTTTTAAACTTTAGCTCCAAAAATGAATTTTATTTATATTTTAAAAAATTATATTTTTTTAGAATGTTTCATTCATAACTCAGATAAGTTTGTCAAATCTGCGTAAACTTTGCAAACGTTAAATCAGTCATTCAATCAATCAATCAATCATGTCAGTTTTACAAATACGATTTCTCTTGCTCTACTTTAATGTGGCAAATAGTCGTCTATTAAAAACTTACCATCAGATGTGGCCAACAGACTAAAAAGGAATGCAGTCAAAGTCAGCTCGTTGCGTCCTTTTTTGGTTTGACTTATTTGGCAAATACTTCGCAACTTGTTGACCAAAACTTGGCGTAAAAAAGTTTCCACTTTCCAATGTGTGTTTGTGTGTGTGTGAAAGCATTTAACTAATTTTGCAACATTGAGTGATGTATCCAGAGAACGCTGCTAGATTGGCCGTTAAAGCAGGCAAGCCAACCTAAACTGTTGACCGTGTCCGACACGATATAGGAGTCCAAGTCCTTGGATGTCTCTGTGCGTCTCTCTCAGTTTAACGTGAATTTCCTTTCAATCAAAATGTGCTTTCATTCAATTTAGTAGCTGCCTGCTAAAATAGAGTGAAAAGCCGGCCAAGAGCTGAAAGTAAAAACGGCAAGGCAAGGGCAAAGGCTGCGGCAACTTTGAACTATTGCCAATCCCTGATGGCGCCAAAAAGTAGACAACGGGCGTAGCTCCTTATCGGCAAAAGGAAATTCTCTGATAGATTGTCAGCTAAGCACTTATACATATATATCTATTGTGTGTGTTTGTGTTCGTGTGTGTGTGTGTGTGTGTGCGTGTGTCTGTTTGTCTGTCTATGTGTACATTGTGTATTCGCATTGGCCCCTGGTTGGGTATGAAATGTCAACATCGAAGATAACTCGAGCGACACCGCAATTTAGGGAAATTGTTTGGCCAAATATTTGCCTGACTCTTGCCAAAATGCCGGCTAGTTGGCCTAAAGTAATATTTAGAGTTTGTTGGTAATAAAAATGCAAAATAATCGTGCAGAATTCCGGTCTGTAATAGATCGACTTTTCTAACTGAGAGAGAGTCAATGCGCCATAACCGTTTCATAATCGTTTTATACAGTTAGTCAAAATATGGAATTTTACTATTACCAGTTTCAGAATCAGTTCATTTTTTATGTGCAAAATTTATGTGAAGCAACTATTTTATATCAGATTCTGATTTGTTTCATAACCGATTCATAACCGTTTCGTAACCGGTTTATTTTCATTTATAGCTGGTATGTAATCTCTCCTTGTTAGTGCACTAGTAAATTTAAATAGGAACCGTTTCATAACCGGTTGATTTCAAGCTGATTTTCAAAAGCGAGCTAAGCCACATTGTTGTCAGAAAACGCAATTATTTATATCAGAGACACAAATACGTGACAGACTTAAAGTGAAGTTCTTGGCCCGCTGCAGTGTTCTGGCTTATTGGATTTAGCCATTAATCCCGAAACTGCGATTCCTATACGTATTTATTGGCCATTCAATATTTCAGCTATTGCTCATTCCCTCGTTCGCTGCCACCAAGGCCCCGCTTACCCGTTTGGCTATCCATTTTTAGACAAAAAAAAAAGTTCATCGCTTCAAAGTCAGTGGCAATAAACTGCAAGCGACTAACGAGCAAATTCCATTTTTAATTTCGTCATGCCACTGTCTTTGTTTTTTATTTTTTTTATTTTTTTTTTTCATTGCCATTTTATCCAATTCTTCTATTCCGCTTTTCGAAGCTTGTCAGCGGAAAACGTAAACTAACGACATTTTCGTTTTCTTATTTACACAATCAATTTCGAGCTTTTGTGATGCGGCAAAAGGCGAACGGCAAATGCGGAAGGCAAGAACAACAACAGTAGCAGCAGCAATAACAACAACTACTATTGCTACTCCACTCCCTCGTTCGCTTTATAGTCTGTTGCATTTTTGTTGCGACTCGTATGTTACTCCCGTTGTTTCGTTAAGTTCGCTTTCGCATTTGGTGTTGGCATTTTGTGCCGCGAGGGAAATTGTCGTCAAAGCGAACAGCAAAAAAATGTCAGATTGTTTGTTGTTTTAACAGTGCAGCAGCAGCAGCAGTTGCAGCAGTAGACGCCCCCGCCACGCCCGGCTCTTCACTTACACACATGTCGCTTATGGCTCTACACTGCAATCTGTGTGCGCGTGCATGTGTGTGCAGCTAGTAATAGTTCTAGTTTTAGTTCCTTGTTACATTTGCCTTTTTTCCCAAATTCACATTGACTCGCACGCTATTTCTCTCTCTTTCTTTCTCCTTTAGCTTAGCTTCGTTGCTGTGTTCCTTTTGATGTTGACCGCAATCGCTCGCTGCGCACGCTGTCTCCCTCACGCTCGCTTACTGTCTTTGTTGTTCTTTTTTTTAGGTAGCCTTTATTGTTTATGCAACTGTCAGCAGTTTTCGTTGCCCGTTTCTGAGAAAGTTTTCGCTCACAATTGGAGATTTACTTGACTGCCTGTTTGTAGGTGTATGTGTGTGTGAGTTTTGTGTTTGCTTTGGCTTAGCTTACATGGACATTGTACACTGTTTGTGCGAGAGCGCGCTTTTCTGTGTGTTGCTTCATATTTGTTGTCATTTCCAATTGTTTCTACGACTTTTGACAGCTAGCAGATTAGCTTGGTGACGCCTCTGCAGCAGCAGCAGTAGCAGCGGCAGATACCCGTTACACTCGCTTGTTTATTGGCAGCGCCATCATGGTATGCGACTAAAGAGATTGCCAAGGGAAATCAACGATAAGCAGAGAGAGGGACGGAGATAGCGATGGCGCTGTGAGTAAGCAACTGCATAAAATACCAAATTGTGATTGCAGCTCGTTATGGTTTATCGAAACGAGTTTGTCAATTCGCCTGAATATCGATTGTATATAATTAAGCGATTTTTGATTGATGTGAAAGCCAATATAAAATATTTTTGATGAATATTTGGTACGTTTTTAATGTGCTTTGAGTAAACTTAAATGCAGTTTCTTATCGATTATTCATTTGATTTAATGCTTGGTTTTGTATATATGAAATTCCAGATAATTTCTTGTTATAGCTTTAGCACATCTGTTTTAACTGATATCTGTTCTTTGACTATATCTAATTTAGTATTGGTTAAACAATAAATTCTTCACGCTTATTTTTGAATAAATATTATTTTAGCAAACTCTTTTAGACAATATATTATTTTTTCAGAGGCAGCTAAGCAGCGAGTGCAAAGCAATTATAAAAGCCATTTAATGTGTCAACAACATGCATCGAAAATTTGACTAAAAAGGGAAAAATGAA